TTATTGAAGGAGATACGAATATAACTCAAAAATAGGTAAAGGCAAAGGTTTCCGCTTTGACGTGATTGTCAAGTCATGTCCGACTCATAAATAGTTTCCACCATGTTCAATTGAGCGTACCTCCCGGGAAGTGTGTTTCAGACTGCTATTAAAATGTGGCGTGCCCTAAAGTTATGGACTAGGAAAGGGCATACATTGCTATAGATGCTGAAAACACGCCGCTGGATGTAAATTAAAAGCATGCCACTGACTATGTAATTGAATCATTCCTTCCCATTGCATTGTACACATGAAGATCGGGAGGGAGGCAAAGGGACTCTGCTGGAGGAATGCAGAATACTTTGGAAGGATCCTGCATACAATTGTCAAGCTCAGGAGATTTCAAGAGATGGAAATGTTCTTCCTGAGCACTGCCATTTGGCCATGACCCCACAATCAAGTACAAAGCACAATGAAAGCATTGCAAATTTAATGATCAACAATGGTCTCACCATTAGTTTTAAGTAGCATCCTAGGGCATACAATCCCCAGATGTACAGCTCCGAGTTGTAGCATAAGCTGAGAGCATGCATTCGTACTTTTTTTTAAAAAAAAAAAAACACCAATTATAAAACATTTTAAAATTATTTTTTCCTACATAAACATGGACAATTTCATATGGAGGATCCCCATCCCCTTGTTATTTCAATAGTCCAGAAGCTGGCATTTTCTGTTACCACTGAATGGTAATAGGAAGCATGTAAATGTTTCTTGGACTAAAACTACCAGAATCCACCAGCCGGCGTGGATAATGTCCATGCAGGCCTGTGGTGTCTGGAAACTCTAGTCCAAAAATTACACATTTCTGGTGAAGATAAGGGAGCTCCAGCAGTTCAAGGCCCCAGTCCTGTGTATGTTTTGCTGGATTCAGTGAGACCTCTTTATGAATGGAACTGCAAAATAACCTTAGTAGGTAGAATCATAGAGCTGGAAGTGACCCCCAAGGGTCATCCAGTCCAACCCCCCCTGCCATGCAGGAACTCACAATCAAAGCACCTCCAACAAATGGCCATCCAGCCTCTGTTTAAAAACCTCCAAAGAAGGAGACTCTGCCACCTGAAATATGGGCATAATAATACATACCTTACAAGACAATAATTATTAAGACGGCTGAGAAAATACAGGTGAAACACTCTTAAACCTCTGCACCGGCACAGACTCGATACATCACTAAGAGCAAAGTCATGCGTTCAACGTGGGTCAATTTATAGCTCTGGCACCATAGCTATATAAGGGATTCTGAAACATCTCTTCACTCCAAGTTTACAGAAATGCATTTGCAGGAATTATTGCAAAACTTTAAACCAAAGGCAAGGTGGAGAATCAAATAGCCCCCAGTGACATCTGAGCATACTTGGTGAACTTGGAAGGTTAAGAGACGAAAGGTGCTTAGGAATAGAATGGAGCATCATGGAAATAGGCATGGCTGGTTGGCCATAACCCCAAACTTCATAGTGTACCACTTTGCTGCAGGTCCTACTTGCACACAGGGAATACTTCTCATTTATGTGCATTTTTGGCTTACCATAGCATAAACTAGGTAATAGGGGTTTCTTTGTTGTTGGTATGTGCTTTCAAGCTGACTCCAAGTTAGGGAGGGTTTTCTTTACAAAATTTATTCAGCGATGGTTTACCATTGCCTTCCTTTGAGGCTGAGACAGTATGACTTGCCCCAGATTACCCAATAGGTTTCCATGACGGAATAGGAATTTGAACCCAAGGCTTCCAGATCCTTAGGCTGCTGCCACGGTGTAGAATTAATGCAGTTTGACACTGCTTTAACTGTCAGGGCTCCATCCTGTGAAATGCTGGGATTTGTTGTGACCCCAGAGCTCTCTGACAGAGAAGGCTAAATAGCTCACAAAACAACAAATCCCAGAATTCCATAGCATTGAGCCATGGCAGTTAAAGTGATGTCAAACTGCATTAATTCTGCAGTGTAGATGCAACCTCAGTCCAACATTCAAGCCACTACACGATGCTGGTTCTCAACACAGAGTGCCAAGCAAGGCCTTAAGGCCCTTTCACACTTTGCATTGTGATTCCACTTTAACTGCCATGGCAACATAGGTTCCTGGGATTTGAAGTTTAGGGAAGGGCATTAATTCCCATCCATAGAGCTCTAGTGCTTCACTAAACTCCAAACCCAGGAGTCCATCCGATGCAGCCATGGCAGTTAAAGTGGAATCATAGTGCTGCAATTATGAAGTGTGAAAGGGCCCCCAGTCTGATCTGGGATTGTTAGTTCTAATAGCGCTGTCACAAATTGAAACTTTTTTTACTTTGAGAAGCAAGCGGCTTATAAATCTGTACAATCATATAAGCAGAATGAAAACTCAAGAGATGTACATTCCCATTGACTGAGATTCTTATGCCATCACTGTTTTAAAAATGTGATTTGAAGATTGTTTTTATGGATTTTTAAAGAGTATTGGAACATGTTTTTAAAATGTTTTGTCTTTGTATTGTTTTCGTCTTTTTTTATTTGTTCATGGGAGAAAGCAATGCAGAAATATTTTTAAAAAATAAATAAATAGCTCAGACATAATACACAGCACTTGAGCTTAGTCTATTACTCAGTTTGGCCTTTCATTCTGTTTTAACAGTTTTCTAAGTTGTTCCATCTCTGGCTCTGTAAAGTCAAATTTGATGGCTAATGAACAAGTTTACAAGGTTGGCATGATTTTTAAAAAGATGGGCTTTTTTGGTACATGCTCTGCTCCACTCTGCTGCCACAACCAACTAGTTTCCAGAATCCCATAGCCTGGAACCACGGCCGTTAAAGCAGTGTCAAACCGGATTATCTCTGCAGTGCGGATGCAGCCTACACCACACATATCCCATTCCATTTCAGATACAGTAGTTGGCAGGTCAAAATATGCAAGCATTATAAAAATACATCGGTTATGTATAAATATATCGGGAGGGGAACTGAAAGCTAGACCTCCCTAGCATTTTCCAGCATGTATAGAAGGAACATTGCTTCTCTTCTATCTAAAACGTGTCCAGATCCTCAGATTAAAGGGATATTATAAACACCAGCTTGCCTTAGAATCATAGAATCATAGAGTTGGAAGAGACCACAAAGGCCATCCAGTCCAACCCCCTGCCATGCAGGAACTCACAATCAAAGCATACCAGACATCCAGCCTCTGTTTAAAGACCTTAAATGAGTAAATATCCTCTCCAGATAACCAGACATGGTAGGAAGTATGGGATGGAGGGAGAGCTTGGCCATTTGCAATGAGGCAATGTGATACAATAGACTGAGTAGCGGATTCGGATTCAAGAGACCCAAGTTTAAATCCATGATCAGCCACAAAGGGTCCTGCCTGAAGGTCATTGTGAGGATAAAATGAAGATGGATGGGGAAACTATGCATGCTACCTAAAGCCCTCCAGAGGAAGGACAGGAGCAAATGAAATTTTCCTCCCAAGCAACACCCACCTGGTCCCATGTTCACATGCTTTCCAATGGATAGCAAAAACTGCTTCATTTCAACAGGCCTCGGGGTCTTTCGGGTGAACAATGTTTTTTATATAAAGCTTTGCGTTGTGTCATGTTGTTATATTGCCTTTATCCTGCTGTTTCAATATTCTGGTGGCATTTACTTGTTACTTTAACTATATATATATATATATATATATATATATATATATATATATATATATTCTTCACCACCCCCAACCTCTCATCCCTTTGGATCTTGTAAATAGAAAATCAAAAGCATGCATTGCTGGGAATAAATAAAATATTATGCCATTGTCTTTCTTGCATGGCTGGTTTGGAAGTTACCCATTTTTACCGATGTTGCTGGATCTGGGGTGATGGATAGGTGCAGATCAGGAAGAGGGACTATGTAGTGCAAGGTATATGGCTGCTTTTTACTTGGAAAAATCAGGATTTCCAAGTAAAGAGCAGCCACACACCTTGTATGACATATATATATAGTTCCTCTTCCCGATCCATTCCTATCCCACATCTGTTCAATTCCATAGGCAGAGGAGAATCACCAATGGATTTCTTTGTCCTACCAACTGTTATGTATAAAGTTGGTGGATCCCTTGGGATCAGACTGGAGGATCCCAAGAGAGCTGATGATGCCACAGATAGAGATGAAGACTCCCAGGCTTTTTTCTTCAAAAACATAGGAGCAGGCTCAAGTCGATGAAAGCTCATGCTCCCAGCTTCTTTCTTTTAGTTAGGCCCAAAACACACTGCAGAAAGAATCCACTTTGAAACCGCTTTAACTGCCCTGGCTGAATGGTAGGGAATTCTGGGAACTGTTGTTTTCTGAGACATTTAGCCTTCTCCGTCAGAGAGCTCTGATGCCTCAATAAACTACAACTCCCTGGGTTCTCTAGCATTGAGCTAGGGCAGTTAAAGCAGTCTCAGACTGGATTATTTCTGCAGTGTGTTTTGGACCTCAGTCTCCAAAATGCTACAAGAGCCTTTTCCCCCCCCTCTTCTCTCTTGTAGTATACCCACAAATGTTTTCGGCCACCTATAAATGTTCAGGGATGTGTGAGCTGGCAGATTTGGAGTATTTGGGGTTGATGATAGGGGAAACAGGCCATTAGCTATGATCCAATGTAACATAAAAGAGGAGTGGATTAGATTTTGGGAGACCCAGATTCAAGTCTGCGGTCAGCCACAAAGAGCCCTGAGTTTGGGGGCTTGGGGCCAATCTCTGCCTTTCTGCCTATTGTGTGTTGGGTGCCTTATCATAGAGCCGACTTATCATGGAATCATAAAATCATAGAGTTAGAAGAGACCACAAGGGCCATCCAGTCCAACCCCCCTGCCATGCAGGAAATCACAATCAAGGCATCCCCAATTTATGGCAACCCTATCATGGATTTTTTTTTTTTGCAAGGTTTATTCAGAGGGGATTTGCCATTGCCTTCCCCTGAGGCTGAGAGGGTGTGACTTGCCCAAGATCACCCCCCCAGTGGGTTTTATAGCTGAGCTAGGATTTGAACCTTGGTCTCCAGACTCCTAGTCCAACACTCAAACCACTGCACCACGCTGGCTCTTGCCTACCTCAAAAGGTTGGAGTGAGGGCAAGATGGAGGGGAGACCATGGCTGTTACCTTAGCATTCCAGAAGAAGGATAGAGATAGTATACCAGATACAGTAAATCAAAGGTCTCAAGTAAGTGACAATTCCAAGGTGGAGGAAAGATGATATAGAAAGAGGAGCAAAGGGAGGGAAAGAGTATACGAAAAAGTGCGGAAACGCGCAAAAACCATTCTGTGGCACCTTAAAGGCTCCAAATAAATCCATTAATTTTTAAGGTACCATAGGATTGATTGCTTGTTGGTTTTGTTGCAATAGACTCTCATGGCTACCCTTCTGGAGAAAATTATCATGATCTATGGCTGCATCCTCACTGGAGAAATGATCTGTTTTGACACTGCTTTAACTGCCTCGGTTCCAGGCTATGGAATTCTGGGAATGATCCTTTGTTGTGGCACCCGGGCGAAGCTCAGGTTCGAATCCCTACTTGGCCATGTAAACCTACTGGGTGACCTTGGGCAAGTCGCACTCTCTCAGCCTCGGGGGAAGGCAATGGCAAACCTCCTGTGAACAAATCCAGCCAAGAAAAACCCATGATAGGGTCGCCATAAATTGGAAACAACAGGGCTCAGATTATTAAACCTACTTAAGATGACATTGACTTTGCAGTCGCTGCTGCTCCGCCAACTAGGAACAAGCAGGAGGTTGGGCTTTTCTTACAATCTTTTGGGGGATCCTCTGAGATTACTGGGTTTGAGTCTGGGGAGATCCTGGATAGTTGCAATTCTTCCAGGAACCCATAGAAAACCCTAAAATGGATATTAGTGACCCTAGAATGGGTTCCAGAGAGTCAGTGTGGCATAGTGGTTTCAGTGTTGGACTCTGACTCTGGAGCCCAGGGTTCGAATCCCTACTCAGCCATGTAAAACCACTGGATGACCTTGGGCATGTTATATGCTCTCAGCCTCAGGGGAAGGAATGGCAAACCTCCTCTGAAGGAACAGGTTTGCCTTAGGGTCCCCATCTGTCGGAAAGGACCACAGCACAGTAAAGAATGGGTTCCCTGGATCCTAAAAAGGAGATGCAGAGAAGGAGTGAGGAGAGGTGGTTGATATGGACTCTATGGAAACCTACACATCACACACATATGTATACGCCTTCAAGGCGCCTGACTTGTGGCAACCCCACGCAATGCACACACATATAAGATCCTGGGATCTTCTCTTAGGATCCATCTGCAAATTCTAGAGTAGAACTCGCAGAGCTGGAGCTGGGCTTCGAAGGTTCTGGAATTCACCCTTTGTGTCCTCTGCTTCAGGGATCCACTGAGAGCACTTTGTGGATTAGCTTTTCGGAGAAGGAGATCCAGGAGCTTCCAAGATCTGACAAGATCCCCATTTGCAAATACAGAAGGGGCTCTGCCAGCAGGCCACCGGGAAAAGGGTACTCTCCATGGGTGCCTCTAAAGTTGAAATAATGCAGTTTGACACCACTTTAACTCCCACGGCTCCATCCCACACAATCCTGGGATGTGTAGTTTGGTGAGGCACCAGCCCTCTTTGGCACAGAAAGTGGAAGACCTTGTAAAACTACACATTCCGGGATTCCATAGGAAGGGGCTACAGGAAAGTGGTGTCAAGCTGCATTACTGTTACAGCGAAGCTCTGGTGCCATATTCCCAGAATTCCATAGCACTGACTCATGGCAGTTAAAGCGGTGTCAAACCAGATTATTTCGCCAGTGTGTGGAAGCAGCCCCTATCATGACATTTTCCTGGCACAATCTGTTGTTCAGAGGAGGTGTGTCACTGCCTTCCCCTGAGGCTGAGAGAGTGTGACTTGCCCAAGGTCACTCAATGGATTTCCATGGCCCGGAGGCCCCACTAAACTACAAACTCCCCATAGAGGCAAGTATAGGTGGCAAAGTAGAACAAGAGCGGGACAAGAGCGTAACGTGATATTGGTCCAAGACACACTGCAGAAATCACCCTGCATCCACACTGGAGAAATAAGCCGGTTTAGCCCCGCTTGAACTCTACCTGGCTCAAGGCTATGGAATTCTGGGAATTGGAGTTGGTTGTGGGGCCCACAGCAGAGCACCTCTTGAACTGCCCCGACTCAAGGCTAGGGAACTGGGAACTGCTCCGCTCTGGGGCCCACAGCCAACTCCAATTCCCAGAATCCCCTACCCTTGAGCCAGGGCAGTTCAAGCGGTTCTTTCTCCAGTGTGGACGCAGCCCCAGTTTGAGACGGCTTGAACCGCCCTGGCTCAAGAAGGCGAGGGAACTGGGGGCCCTGTCCTTTCCCCTGGGAAATGATGGAGCCATTCCCAGTGCAGTCGGAGTCCCTAGCCCTGAGCCAGGGCGGCTCAAGCGCTCTCAAAGCGGATCATCCCCGCCGTGTGTTTGGCACCACGGATCCCAGGCCAGCATTCCGCATTGGAGGGGGGCTAGTTTATTTTAGGGGAGAGGGGAAGGAAGGAAGGAAAGAGGGGGGCGAGTCCCAGGCCAGGCTCTCTCCCTTCCCTCTCTCTCCCCTGGACTAAGGACTAAGAAGCCCAACGACCCTGCTGCCGCCGCCCCACCAAGATCTGCCGCCTGAGGCCGGTCCCGGAGGCGGGGTGGGGGTCCTGGTCTGGGCTCCCAGGGAGACTCACCCAAAGCGAGGCCGAGGAGGAGCGAGAGGGGCCTCGGGGCAGCCATGCTGGGCAGATCGGCGGCGTCCTCTTCGTCCTCCACGAGATCCGATCCGGGGGAAGGAGGGCCGGTCTATTTATAGGGGCTCCCGGAATGTCCCCGGAGCCGGAGCCAGCTGCCTCTCCTCTTCCTCCGGGAGCCGGCGCCGGGCCAAGGGGCCAGAGGGGCCAAGGCTCCGGGGCTGGGCCCTGCCTCCTCGGCCTCGGCCTCGGCCTCCGCTGCCTTCCCGATGCGGCGCTGGGAGCCAGCCGAGGGCCAGGAGGAGCAGGAGCCGGCCAGGGGAGCCATACAACTCCGGGACGGAGCCAGGAGACGGTCCCTGCGCTCCTCCTCCTCCTCCTCCTCCTC